AATTATTCTTATATATATATATATATATATATATATATATATTTAACAATTTTCCTGAAAAAAGTTCATGAAATAAAAATATCAATTATTCTCTATATTAAAAATGAATTAAGTATGTGTATAGTTATTTTAAGTCATAACTTATATATAATATAATTATTACCTTTTTTGAAATTAAAAATGATACGTTATATATTTTTATTATATTTTTAATTTATTTATGTATTTTATGAGAAATTTGTTAATAATTTATTTTATTATCAAATAAACGTTTGAAAACTTATTTGAAGAAATCTTTAATATTATATAATTCTTACAAATATTATATTTCGAATTTTGATGAAATTATTTAAAACTTAATGTAATACTTTACTGTGCGTTTCCCAAATATATTAGGTATCAAAGGATTACACAGCACTTTTATCTAAGATAAGTCTACTTTTTTAACATATAACACATTGGAAGACATACTTACGTATTATATATATATATACATATATGATGTATGTATATATCTTATGTATATTATAGATATATATATAGTAGTATATATATAAATCTCTTTTATGTCGTCTTTCACTTATGATATGATGTGTTCATAATTTTATATTTTTACGTCAATTTATTGACTCAGCAAAAAGCAGAGAATTATAAAAAGAATATATGAAATTAATGTAATAAATAATTTAATAATGGTTCGATTAAAACAAAATTTTGCAGTTAAAAAGTTTTAAATGTATAGTGAAAATAATATATAAAAATAGTTTATGGTTATTAAAATTTATATACTGATTTTATTGAAAAATCATATAACTTGTAACATTATTGCAATTATAATGCATTTTTTAATAATACTGAAGTTATAATGTAAATTATTTTAGGTTATTTCTTTTTTGTTTTGTTGTCAACTGTTACTGTTAAAATGGAAAATAAGGAATATATAGTGAAAACTATAATTCATGCAGGTACAAAAATAATTAATTTTGTACCTGGAACTAAAGTATGCATATATCTTAAATTAATTCTGTTTAAATTAAGTATAAATTTTAACTTATATTAAAAATTATAAATAGAATTATATTTTAATCTTTAGGTATTTTTTCATTTTAAAACAACAAAATGTGATCCACAGAGAACAATAATAGATGACAGTAAAGTAATGGGAAATCCAATGGAACTTGTTTTAGGAAAAAAATTTAAACTTGAAGTATGGGAAGTTATTGTACAAAAAATGGCATTAAATGAAGTGGCTTGTTTTAGAATTGACAAAAGTGTATGTTTATGATACTTTAAAAGAATATTATAGTATTTAAAATTAATGTTTTAATAGTATTTATTGTTTTAGCTAGTCACAGCATATCCATTTGTGTCTAAAACTTTGAGAGAAGTTGGAAAACCAGAATCAAAAAAACGTAGTCATTGTTGTGGTGTAACTTTGCAAAATGAAGGAATTGGATATGATGATTTAAACGAACTTATCAAATATCCTCAAGATTTAGAATTTACAATTGGTATAATTATCAATTCAATTAAATAAATAACTAATTTTTAATTAATTTAATAAATTATAATTTTAAGTTGCTAATTTCTTATTTATTAAATATATAAAAATTATATTAATTTTTTTAGAGCTTATCAAAATCATTTTACCTGATGAATATGAAAAAGAAGTATGGCAAATGACAGAAGATGAGAATTAAAAAGCATTCCAGATATAAAAGAAAAAGGAAATATATTATTTAAAGAAAAAAATTATAATGCTGCATGTGAAATGTATGCAAAAGGTATTGGCATATTAGAACAACTTATGCTTGGGTTAGTATATGATATATGCACATATTGTTATTATATTTATTGATTATTAATTTTTTCTTTTATATATATTTTATTTACATATAATTTATAGAGAAAAACCAAATGAAGAAGAATGGTTAGCTTTAAATCAATTGAAAACTCCATTACTTTTAAATTATGCACAATGTAAATTAATTCAAGAAGAATATTATGCAGTTATTGAACATTGTACAACAGTTCTTAAACATAATCCAGGTTTATTATTTTATATTTTTTTTATTTATTTATTATTTTTTTTACATTATTTACATTGTATATATTATATATTATATTATAGACAATATATATATTTATCATTCTTAGATAATGTAAAAGCATTATACAAGAGAGGTAAAGCATACATAGGTGTTTGGAATGAAGAAGAAGCAATTAAAGATCTAACAAGAGTTGTTGAATTGGATTCCACATTACAACATATAATTGAAAAGGAATTACGAGCATTTTCTGCAGCAATCAAAGAAAAAAATCAATTAGAAAAAAAGAAATTATTAAAACTCTTTAAATAAATGTATAAATATTGTATAATTTATATAGATTTTATATATATAGCATGCAATATATTTATAAAATTATAAAATTTCTCTTCTCCCTTTTTCAGTAAAGCGACTTAGAAGACAAATATTTTTTTGTCACAATTATTATATAAGAGAGTTGTACAAATTGTTCATAGTATAATTTCAATATTGTAAAATCTTAATTTATCCGAAATTAAATATAAATATTTTTCAATATAAAGTTTTCATAATTTTTATTATTTAAAAAATATTTATAAAATTATATTATTATTAATCATATTATATTAATTATAAAATTATTTATAAAATACTTATCTTATAATATTACTATTTATTATTATTTATATTTAAAAATTCTACACATTTTAAGAATAATACATCATGAAATCACTTATAATTATTGAATTTTTTTTGAGTATTTTACCACATTGATAGTTATATATTAAGCTGAATTTGAAATTTTTAATTTTTACATTTTAAATAAAATAATTTTTAAATAAATAATATATAATTTTTGGTTTGATATCATTTAAGGAATATTTTTTGAAAATTGTATTGAATATTTAAATGAAAAATAAATTCGAATTTGTGAAATTCGTTATATATAATATAATAATATAATAATTGAGATATTTTTTTTTTGTATAAAATTATATTATTTCTCTTTTATTTTAAAATAAATTTAAAAATTTAAAAATTAATTATATTAAAATTGTTTGTAATTTAAAATAAAAATCTTACATTTTTATAATTTTACTAAAAGTTATCAAATATGTTATAATAATTTGCGAAATATATTATTTTTCATTATTTATGTAACTATTGAATAAAATATATTATTATATTATATTATATAATTTATAAATTATTTTTTATTCATGTTAGATTTTTATCGAAAATATATTTTAATTCTCACAAATAAATCAAATTAGTTAAATTAAACATCAGAAGTAATTTTCAACTAATAATATTTTTTATGTTATCTTTTAGAATTTTATTTTTATACTATTTATAAATTTTCTTTTAAATCTAGTTTTGAAACGAAATCTAAATTAGTTAATCAAGTCATGAGTGTGACTGTTGATCGACAGAAAAGTATCATGTTTAATTTATGGCATAATTTATTTTATGTTATTCTAATTAAGCTTAAAATATGGAATGTTTGATTTTCTTAAAT